TCCAGCGGTTATGTTTTGTTATAAGAAACAAAACCCAGACATTAAATTATCTTTTTTTGCATTAGATTTCTGGTAGCTATTGGCCAAGTACCAATATATATAGTATATATTATATAACTACTATACTAAAATACATGTAATATATATTATACTAAATACTATAGTTCAACTATGCAAATTATTACAATGGCAGAAATACTAAATATAAAATATACTAAATATAATATATACAATGTACTAAAATATAAACTGATACATGTCTCCTCTTAGTTAAAAATGGTCTAGGGAATCCATCTGACTTTAGCCTGCTTTCACAACTTAAACTTTCAAACAGACCAGGTACTCTCCCTGTTTTCTCTCTCACTGTCTCTTATTCTGTGGATGAAACCCAGGGCATGCCAGGAAAGCATCTACTTCTGAGCTAACTTTCATCCAGAAAAGACACTCTTAAAGAATTCGTAAGGCCAAGAACAAAATTTTTGACTGCTTTTTCTCCCAACAGTAAAACACGTACTTTAAATCCCTTAAGTGACACTGAACCATGGAGCTTGATTTTTTTTCTGGTGGTCAGGTAGGATGGGCATGAAGGAGTACTGAGGGACACGGGGAAGGTACATTTGGAAAAAAATGCCCCATTTAAAAAACATCAGAACAGCTTGTGGAAGCTGGAAGCTCTGACCAAGCAATCTGAGACTAGCCACTCAGACTGTCTCTGGACATAGAATGCAGATCTCACTCAAGCTCTAGCAGATGCTGAGGACTGAGAACTCTTGGATGATTCATTTGGATTTTGTACAGCTAGCAAAGCAAAGAATATGTCAAGCAGGGTTTGTAGTATGAAATTGGAAAGGGGACGGGAAGGCTTTGTTTCGTTATAAAACAACAAAAACATACCATTCCTGAAGTTCAGGAGAAGGAATGAGGCCTGCAGTTCCATTTTTGGAGTTTTCCAGTTTACCCTGCCACCAGTTGTGGTCATCCTTACTAATAATCTGGATGATGTCACCAACTCTGAATCGAATGCCAGCTTCTTTGCAGGGGATGAGGTCATCCTTGGCTGGATCATATTCAAATTGTGCTCTTACATAGATCTATAAGACAGGAGTTTGTAAGATACGCGGCCACACTGACGTGAAGGACAGTGAGCTCTAATCTAATAGCCACACACCAACATTTACAATGCAAACAGGACATCAGATGGTGAAAGCTGAAACGATGCATGGAGATAGGACACAAAAACGTCTACCACTAGAAACAGTATACTACCTTTGATGAATATGGGTTTAACTTTGTTACTTTTATTGGAAGGACCACTTAAAATACTTGTTTGATAAAAGCAAAGGCTTAAATTCTGGTTTTAGTATAATAAAAAGGTATGTCTATAATTACAGAGTTGTATGTTCACCATTTTAAAAACTTGATATGGCTATGGTGCTACTATGGAGAAGCAGTCATGACCATGTCTTAGTCGTGGAGATGTGGAGACTAGCAGTCAGGGGAGTTTTAACCCTAAAGGAGCAAGAATTCTGTCCTGCTGTCTTGCTGTAAAATGCTTTCATGATAACTGGTAGTGTGTCTATACACTGTAGATAAAGTTATATGTAACTCAAATGATTTTAAAAAGTTTTAAAAAATAGTTTTATTTCTTTAAAAGGATTTAGGCACTGTATTTGTGCTTTACTCTTCTGAGAAAATAATATAAATCTGAACCCTTGCTTTGCCAATGGAACATTTGAAATCACGCATGGTTCAAAGGCTTTGAGTTTTATGTGTGTGATTGTAGGAGATTGAATAGCAGACAGTGGTTATGATACAGCAGCACTTTATGAATGACTATTTCTAAGTGCTTTAAGATAAGGTACTCAATAACCAATGTTCTTCAGTTATACAGTTCTCGTACCAAACTGTGGGCATATTCTACCAAGTACTAATTTATATAAGTCTTAACTTAAAATTAGATTTACTTTTTAATATCACATTTCATGAACAAAATGCCATAATTCTATCTCTAGATACTAAACTTGACTATTCATGTTAAAGTCACTGTAAAACCAACCTGAAGGCTTTGGAACCATTGTGTGATATTCCTGTTTATATTTTAGCAATCCAGCCCACAAAATTAACAAGTCCCTGCATTTGAACCTAAAATCTATACTTTAAAAGTGCTGCCAATTTGAAAGTTACCTGCTAGTGCTAGACAACACTTGTCATATTTGAACTAGCACAACTATAGCAGGATGGAAAGCCAAGCTGTTTACATTGTTTTTCACTACAAGTAGCTTTTAGACATGTACACGCAAATACAAATTTAATTTTAATTTAGATTTCAATTTCAGAAAATTGCTTCAAAATGTTCATCAGGACATACATTTTAGTTATCTTTAGAATTCTATGAATTCTTTACCCACCAGAGGCAGGTAAGACCCTTAAAGGCTGAATCCTTTACTGTCATAAAAAATTATCAGGTTGAAATTACAATAACCATCATGGCTACAAAGATGTGAGCAAAAAATCTTTATAGAGAATTAGTCATGTATAATGTGTTAAAATGAAATGGTACAAGCTCTCAATGCTCAAATGTTATGGTCCAAAATGCAGACATTATGGGATGGAAAGGGTTAATAAAGGATTGGCTATTAGCAGCTCAGTTTAGAGAAGTTTCTATAGAGGATATCTATTCACCTGTCGTCCTTTTGGTTGGGTAGTTGATGGCAAGTCCTGTAGAATAAAGCCAACCCAGGAGAAAATTTTCATTTACTTGTCAAGAGTACAAAGTAATTTGTGTGTTCTGTTACAATATGGTTAAAAATGAACTAGATTTAAGTTGTAAAGAGATCATAATACATTACTCCATTTCTCAGAAATGTTGAGTTATGAAAAAAAAAAAAAACCCAGGCCATTTAGCAGCAAGCTGAAGAAAGCAGGTAAGTTGAAGCAGAGAGAAAATGTGTTCTTAAGAAACAACTCAGCATCTTCAACACAAAAGCCACTGTGGGTGATACAGCCTATTACAAAACCCCCCAGAACTAAGACGAGCTGTTGCCCTTTTCAATGTAGTCACTGCAACCATTTAGATTTTGAAAAATTCAATGGCTATATGGATTTTCTTCATCCTAAAAGCATTACACGTTAATGATTACAAATGAATTCTTTGGTAGCCTATCTTCAAGTTGGAAATATAGTCATGGACAATTTTCTTGCATAATTTCTTTTACTTATATACTTAGAATATCATTCCATTTGAGATGATCTTTAAATGATTTATAATTTTATTTGATAAAAAAGTTGATAGTTTTTTTTTTAACAGGGCAAATTAAAAGTCAGGAAAAAAAAAGCAAATACTGCTGCATTCTTAGAGCTCTTAGGAATTGCAACTGGGTGACAGACAGCAGCATCAGCAACTTCAAGAAAATCTGGTTATCTGAAAAGATTGCAAACCCGCACCTGTAGGTGCTTCTGCTTGATTAAATAATTCTTTCTATAATCCAAAATGGAGAGTTCTGAAAAATGGAACTTTCCAAGTTCAAGTCAAATACAAAGTACTTTGTGTTAAAGATGTGATACCAGCATGGCTTAAGTGCAGTTTGAAGCCATTTCCTTTTGCTTTTCATATCCAGGCAAGGCTTATAATTCACAAAAATATGTGCACGTACCACAATAACAAGAGGGCACACCAATTCGTAAACTTAGATAGCGGAAACTAAACCATGTTGCTGATATCCCTCAGAATGGAAAACTATAAAGCCCAAGAACACCCAAATCCTTATTCTGCAAAAATCTTTATATTTCTTTATCATTTTGTAAACTAATTTTTTTCTTTAGTAATTTAAGCACATTTTTCTTTATGTCCTTTGCACTGGTTTGAGCAGTCACACATGCTGGTGGGGTGGCAGAGAGATATTTTTAGAATGACCACAGCAGTCTTGAACTATGATTCTTCAGATATAACTAATGCAAGGGATTTTAAGGACAGGAAATGTTGAAAAAGGTTCTCTAGGAGTAAGCTGCATTGCAGTCAAAGTAGCCTTGTATGTCTCAGAAGACAATATTTCCACTGAACACATGTAACTAAACACTTATGGCAGGTGAGCACCAACAAAATTGTCACACTTGGCTGTGTGGAGCTAGAGTTCTTACCGAAACAGAATTGTTAGTGCTGCTATGACCATTAGCAGGGGACTGCCTGGAAGTGGAGGGGGAATCTCTCTGAAATAAGACACAAGGTTCATTAACACAGAACACCAGCACAAAAACACAGAGAAATTTACATTAACAGTTACAACCACAGTCTGACAACCATTTCCTTTGAGGTTAGTGCTATAAAAGGTGCCATACTGACTTACTTGCATGATTTCACAGAAGTATGAAAAAATGTTTGCAGTTTGAAGATTCCCATATTATAAATGATGATTGTGTTGTCACTAATTATTTCTTTCTGTTTTCCCACATTTTATAAGCTTTGCTTTCTTTTAATGGGATCCCGAAAGAGTGATGTTAAAACCCTATCAAATATGATGAACACTATAAAATTATTGTGTTAAAGATTCAATTGCCTAGTTATATATGAAAGAATAAGTTTGGAAAAGTTGTTAATGATTTTAGGTACCCCAGTGTCAAGAATTACTGAGTAATTCCATTTGAAAAGAAATGAACATGAGAAAGGCTTCACATGTAATCTCCTTAGAATCTTTCTAGAATAAATATTACTAATGGAGGTAAAAGATAGAGATAGATCTTCACCAGAGAACAACTTTCTTCCTTTGTATCATTTTAGCAGACTGAGTAAAATAACTTCAAGCTATCACAATGTTCTACTTCTGCCCCAACTCCCAGAAGCCATAGCGTTCTTCCTAGAGCTACACTCCTAGATCTCTCTGCCGTTCCACACACTCAATATCCTGTCCAGGCTCCACTCCTTAGTGTCCAAGTCAACTTTAATGAAAAGAACAAAGAGAAGAAAATAAGTACTTCAACATTTTTGATTTAGTAGAATTCTTTTATACGTATCTGTTCAAAAGATAAAAATATGTTTTTTCCTAGAAGTTTGAAAGGAAACTTCTGGAACTTGTCAGCCTTAAGGAGAATGGGATCCTTTAGAGGGACATTCTCAAACATTAGCAAACAGATTAATTTCCAGCTGCCACCCTTAGGGACTCGAGCTAGTAGGGCCAGGGCCTGTGGTAGGTGGATGGAAGACTCTATTCAATTTTGCTCTAGGTGGAGAAGCTGGAGCACAGGAGGGTCAAAAGGTGTGTGTAGGGGCAGTGTTAGGGGAGTGAGCTAGGAGGAAGGAATCATTATTTTTTCTAATATTCCTTCCACAAGGGCACAGAACTTATATGTATAATAATGATATCTCCCTAAAACTAAGAGCATCTTTTCATTGGCAAAAAAAAAAAAAAATCAAATGTGTTTACTTAATTTCTTCAATAGACAAGAAGTGGTGTGTGAGGAACAGCTATGGCTTTAGAATATTTAAATTATTTACATAAAATGTACACATGGCATTCTTCCCCTGAAAGGTTGTGTTTTAGGTAATAAGCTCTTTTTGAGGCAGGGTCAACCTGTAGCCCCAACTGGCCTGGAACACACTATGGAGACCAGGCTGGCCTTGAACTCACAGAGGTATGCCACCACGCCCAGTCACAAACTTATTTTTTTGAGACAGGGTCTCCCTGTAGACCCAGCTGACCTGGTACTTGCTATGTAGACTAGGATGGCCTCCATCTTACAGAGGTCCACCTACCTCTGCTTCCAAAGTACTGAGATTAAAAGTGTGCGCCATCAAGCCCGGCTAGGCAAAAAATTTTCATGCTCTGATTTGTGGAGCTGAAGCAGTTCTGCCTATTTTTTGAAATATATTAATTGAAGTTCCGCAAGAAACCACCAAGAGGAGCTCAAGACCTAACAAAATGGACACTTCAGTTATCATGGTTCACTAAAAATCTGCTTGTCAAAACTACAATTTTTTACATATATGTTGAATAAGCTTAGAAAAAAGTGAAGCCTCTGATATTTTTAAAAATGAAATTTGTAGTATCACTTAGAGACTAGAAAGAATATAGCTTCTCTCTCAAATTTTCTTAAGCATAAATCCTATAAATTACTTGACAACCCTTAAAAATTAACTTTAGAAAATCTATACTATTTATTTA